GGAGTCGAAACGCAGCAGTACTACCAGTGATCGCGGAGGCAGTGTAGCGTAACTCAAGCGAGATAAGACCATAGGAGACAGGGCCGATTGCTCTGAGACAACAAGGGAGGCTGAACTTCCCCTAAAATTCCATAGAACAAATGGTCAAATATGCACTATTGAATTGACATTAAAATAAGAATTTACATTGCATTAAACGTGCGCTAGGATGCGTTTCACATCATGACTATGATGTCAGCTGTTTATCACCAGTTTTCAAACGCGACCTCCCTGTCATACATTCTCGTGTCAGCACGGTGGACGCAGAGCCTCTAAGCATTCCTATGAGACAGCGCTGAGCAGGTTTATTTTATGCAGCAAAGTGAGACGCTCGTTGGATAAATGCGACAAAATCGTCACTTCCAGGGAGGCTCAGCTTCCCTGGGACCTAACGGAGCGGTAGGTAGGAGAGGACGCTCGGTTTATGCATGATGATTGGAGGAACTGTCTAAAAGGCTGAACCCCTTTGTGATTGACAGCTGTTTGGAAATACACACCGGCATCGTCGCATTTCGAGCTCAGTCCCATGCGGATATTTTCAAGTGGAGTCTTCTGACAGAGTGCCGTCCAGAGTTCCTTATTTCCATAAGTGATATAGCTCATTTTCACCACAGTTCAGGTGTTTAAACAGCTTCAATTAAATGCTCCTTTTATAAGTTACTGCCTCGCTACAATATGACACATTTTATGATGTAAACTTAAAGTGAGGTTCCCCTGTTTGAAAGCCCAGCAGCCGCCACTGTTAGGAGACAACAAAGACATTTAAATAATGGCAGAACAGAACAAATCAGTAATACGGTGAAAAGAATTCTCCGTCCAAGTGTCGGCTTGTATTCAATGGCCTCACAGACCACTGCTGTCTAAAATGCTGCCTCCATTAAAGATACAATATTATGACGTCCTCAGAGATTTATAATAACACCTTCATCATGTTTTTTGTTGTCTGAAAATGCTGACTCTGCCTTGTTGTGTCATCTATTGGCTATATCCATGCCAACAAATAGGACTCATGCAAGTATGAGGGCGTATGAGTGATGGTTACATTTGAAACGGATATATCTATTTTTGTATGTAAAGGCAGGATAAATGAGTCCTAAGGTCACAAAAATACAATTGATTATACACCGAAGAAAACATACTTATATCATATTCCATTCCATAAACACTGAACTTTTAAAGGCTCTTCAAAGACATAAAAATCCATCCTATATGTGCTGTGACATCCACTAAAACACTTAGACGGACAGAGTGGAACAGCCCCAAAACCTCCCCTGACACCAACACTCCACAGCAGCACCAAACACTAGCATCCTCTGGCTGAGACTGTAAACTGCAGTGTGGAGGCTCATTAGCTTCAGTGAGCAGCAGGTCTAATAGTCTCAGAGAGAGTTGGGACCAGGAGATAAGAATGCCTTAATCTGCCAGTAAATCTGCAGCACAATACGCTGGCTCATCATGACCCTAAATCCCTCTGCGCTCACATTTACAGGCCGTCTCCTGGTAGTGACCCTCTGCTGCACACCGGCTACACAGGAAGTCTTTGTTAAGGCTGTCAGCACAGGACGGTGGCGGAGAGTAAATCCAACCCGTAACAGTTCACACATGTTATTGTTTGTTGGCCTGATTTTAAGGCTTTGGTTCAACAGCAGTTAGTCGTCTAAACTCAATTAAGTTCAGGCTTCTGGAAAAAGTATTGTCGTTTTATGTTGTTTTTTTCAGTCCTGTTTGAGTGGGAGACTTTTATTGTGAAGCAGCTATAATATAATATTCTTGACACATATATTAGTGGTGTATTATTCATAAGTAGTGCTATAATAAAATCAAACTACACGCTGATGCTCAGTACTTCAAAACAAACTAACATCCACAGTCTCTGTGTGTCGACGGGGTCATAAACCAGCTGATAGCAGAGCTGTGTTGGTCTCTACAGAGTTTATCAGCTGTGTGTGTGTGTGTGTGTGCCATAAAAATCATATAATTACATGCAAGGTGTGTATTCCACACGATGGCTTTAATGTTTGGAGTCAAAGCAAAGCTACTGTGTAAAGATACACTCTTCATGTTGCATGTTTCATAACACTGTACAGCCAATCCATATCTGTGGAGTTTGAAGGGATAGTTCGGAATTTTTGAAGCGGGGTTGTATGAGGTACTTATGCACAGTCAGTGTGTTACATACAGTAGATGTCAGTCGGCGCGTCCCCAGTTTGGAGAAGCAGGCTGGAGTCTAGCCCAGAAGCTGAGCAATGCACTGCTATGGATGGGGGCCACAACAAAACTTAACTTTAGCCACCTAAAAAAATCAATATCAAGTTAAGTGTATGCATATTGAGAATGTTTTCACCGCTTCACTTTTCCGTCACAGCCCTTTCTGACTGGCAGGCCATTAATGGCTTCAGGTCCTCATCTATGCTTTCGTCAAAGTCACCAGACTCCTTTGACAAAAACAGTAATTTTAGCTCTCTGAACACAGGAGCTGCAGGTCTTTGGCTGCTTCGATCAGTCAGTTTGTTTGTGTCATTGTGTGACTTTGGTGGATCTGAATTAACCCTTTAAATGCCAAAGTCACACAATAACACAAACAAGAAGAGAGCGATTTAACGGATTCATTTCCCCGTTGGGAATCACTGTCTGACATTCAGGTAAAGCAGTGAAAATACTCTAAATATAGCACACGCTTAAACTGATATAAATGTTTTTAGGTGGAACTTTATTAAGGTGTCTATAATACGTTTACAAAGTACATGCTGTCAATAGCTCTTCATCATTAGAAGGAAATTATTATTACATTTAATTCATAATACGTAATTATTTCTTGGCTTCTGTATAAATATATTTTCCCCTTTTTTCTCCTTTTCCCTGCACTGTGTTCTGTGTGTTGCTTGGTTTTTATTGTATAATTTTCACTGACTGCTCAGCAGGGCTGCAACGATTACTCGACTTATGCATGACTAATCGACTATTAAAATAATCAGTGACTATTTTAGTAGTCGACTAATCAGTTTGAGTCATTTTTCATAGAAAAGTACTGTAAAAGTACCCAAAATACTCTTATTGCAGCTTCTTATGTTCAAATATTGGCAGCTTTACACACTCTCCCATGACGGTGAACTAAAACCCTTTGGCGTGAGTATGAAACAAGACATTAGATGACATCATTTTGGGGTTTGGGAGAGACAGACCTATCTACTGTATATAATACCAGGGTTTTCCCTGGGTTTTTTCGAGGCCAAGGTGGCAAAGGCCTGTAGCGGGGGGCATCTTGACAGCTGTGCTTTTAGATACGCCCCCCCCCCCCCCCCCCCCCCCCCCCCCCCCCATTAAATATGAAAGGAGGCCCCCACATGCTTGAGCTTTACACTGCTGACTTGTATCATCAGAACAGACATGTCCTGTGATTTTCAGCCTTCTATGATTATATTTACCTTTTACAGCAGGCACATCCTGACAGCTGAGAATATTACTGTCAGGTATTGTCCCCCTTCTATTAAATACGAAAGGAGGCTGAAAATCACAGGACACATCTGTTCTGATGATACAAGTCAGCGGTCCTGAAACGTGTGTTTCTCTTCTATAATACACCTCTACATCTCGGAGGCGACGTCTTTCCACATACGGGCTTCCTTCGCCTTTCAAATGGGGCAGAGCTCCGTGGGAAACAGTAAGAAAGACACAGCCTGAGGGGGAACCGAGATCTGTCGCAACAGCGGGGGGAGAAGCAGGTCTGTGGAGCTGAGCACCGGACGAAAAATCTATCGCATTGCACCAAATGTGTGTCACTACAGCGTCGCTTTGGGTTGTGAACGTGCATGACACGCTAAAGTAATGGGTTTGTGTGAGCAAAAGACGCTACATCTGAACACCCCCCATGCACACACACACACACACACGCTTTAACCAAGGCGGCGGCCAAAATCACCCAGGCGGCCCGCCTTTGTCTTAGATAGGCAGGGAAAACCCTGAATACACTGTCTGGGTGAGTACCCCATACAACTCCACTTAAAAAATGTTAACTGTCCCTTTAACACCTTACAGAGAGAAAATTATAGCCAACTACAAGAAATATTTTATGTAAAATCTATCCTCTAAAACTGCTTGACAGGTTGATTTACGTTAATTCTTAATAAGCAACCTGAACCATCCATGTAAGCCCCTGTGACCCCTGCTCCATTTGTCCTTCACCTCGTCTGTATCTGCTGTTTTGACAACACATGGATCAAAGAGGTAATGCACAACCATATGGGGTTTAGGGGATTTGCAGCATCTTGAGCTGATCCCAAATTATACGTGGACCTCTTTAAGCCTTTGTTCTGTTCTCTTGGTGGTTAATGAAAGAATCTGTCAGTGTCGGAAGATGAATGAGAAAGATGGGAATTTTCCTTGTCAGGAAAGCAAACTGTTAACTTTGCCTGGTTTGTTTGTTTCTATGGAACAATAAAGTCAACTGAGGAAACAGAAGGAACATTTTCTGCCAAGTTAGAGGAGCTGCCTGCTAAAGGTGACTTTAGTGAATTCAGTTATGTTACTTCACCACATCTGAAGCACTGTGGATATTATACACAAATTAAATTCATAATGAAATAAAAAGTGATCGCATGGTTTGGCACATAATGAAACAACATTGGAATCTTTGAGTTCCTTCATTGTTTGTTCTTTGTTTGTTTTTCTGCTTTAATGAGTGACTAAACTTAAAGAATTAGCAAATTCCGTACGGTTAATGTTTTGGCTCTCACTTAATGCACTTCATGTCCCTTTCCCCCAATTCTAACTGAATGCACTTTGTGGGAGACAGGAAGTGCAGCATGCCCCAGGAACTAAAACGGCCACAGGGCCAGGAAAAGTTCCTGAGTTTGTATACAGTCAACATTCTTTGAAGGGGTGAAAAGTGCTGAGAGAGGATAGGACGCTCTGATGGGATCCAACCCTCAAGGTCACACAAAATGACCTTTTGTGGTTCTTACCTGGCCGTAGTCTGTGGCAAAGACAACAACCCCTCCAGAGCACGAGGACACGGTGCTGGGAAGGTACTGCTCATCCTCCCGTAACCACACCCGGTCACCCTGCAGGAAAAGACGAAAAACATGTATGAGTTTTACCTGTCAAGTACCAGAGTTGACTTCATACTGAAGAACACAAATCCAAATACAACAGGCTTCAACAAAGGAAACCAATTAAATACTTCAAACCAGGATCTCTAGATGTGGGCAGAGCTCAGGAGTCTCAGTTCAACACGAGAACGACCAACTGAACAGCAAAAACATTGGCATCGTACATTTCTGCAAACCACACATATATTACCTTTGTTTTGTGTTACATTTTTAAAATGACTTGGTTAGGTTTAGGCACAAAAACCACTTCATTATGGATAGGAAAAGATCATGTTTCGGCTTGAACTACCCAGTTTTGGTGGCACAATCTCGGCAGGAAATGTAGCGATGTCTCAGTAAAAAACAACCACTTTTAGTGGCACTGCCCCCCGATGAAAAACAGCAATGGGTTGATACAAATCACTCATGTTTGGGGTCTAAAACGTTGCTGGAAACACAGCAATGACTCGATTAAACACAACTGGTTTTGTTGTTTTTTGGTCTCGAACAGTGGTCTGCCACTTGGCCAGCATCTCACCAGGGTAACACACCATCTCCAGATGACAGTCATCTCATATACAACCTCACTTTAGAAACACTGATATGAAATGTACAAATTTATGGTTTGCAGAAACGTGCAATGCAAAGATTTTCTTCTGGCAACTGTGCTGACAAAAGGAAGGTCCAGAAGCAAAGCAACAGTGTTTTCATGTAACAGTGGATCTTATTTTTGCAAAACAAAGAACAGGACTTCCAAAATGGCCCAGAAAGAAACGCCAAAACAGTTCTGCCAGTTGGTTGAGCTCATCAACAGATTATCTGTGTTCATGAAATTATTTTGTGGTCTCAATAAAGTGGATTTTGAGGTCATGTAATGTTATACTTTGCACTAATGGCACAAGAGGCTGTACTAGCCTCAATCTGTTGTTACCATGGCATTACCACAGCACTGACCTTTCTCTGACCAATAAGAGGCCCTCAGCTGTGGACAAAGCGTGGAAAACTCTGCAGTGTTGGGTTTCAGAGATCTGTACCTGCACCCAGGAGGCCTGTAAACCTGCATGTTTATTGATGCCTTTTAGTGACCGACAGTGGAGCAGAGTCAGAAAACACTTTATACCTGTTGACCTGTCGAGTTTACAGCTCCTGGTTGCTACAGCGTTCCCCTCACAGCTGACAGCTGGATATTTAATCACCACAGTTCCCCCACTCTGCTGTGTTTGTGGAGAATTAGCAGAGAATTTGGGGAATTTAGGAAGAAAGTCAGGGTCTTAACTGTATGTTTGGAGATTTGTATTTTTGTCTTTTTATATATTTTGGCTTTGGATGTGGCCACAGTACCAAAATAGTGTGTACAGATTTAGATTTTATTTTTTATTTTTTTCAACAGCACAGATTGAGGTGCAGTACATGAACAGTCCTCCAGTTTGCTCCCCTCCCGTCTATGACTACTGAAGATATTTGTTCAGTGGGAAATTCAGACTCTGCAAAGCTCCCCTTGTTGAAATATGACTGAGCTGCAGAACGGAGGGGCCCTCGAAGTGGATTCCCTCTTAATCGCAAAGCCACATGTGCCGCTCTTCATTAGCGTGACAAGCTAATGCTAATGGGAAAAACAAACGCTGCACTTTTGAGAGATGCCCCTCCTCTTTCTAAACCAGGCATATGAATGACCTTTGACCCACAAACCCTCATTCTGACCGAGTCACTGTGGTGCGGTGGAGAGGGGCACCTGGCTGGGAAAAAGTTAGAGGATGGAACACACACACACACACACACACACACACACACACACACACACACACACATACACACTTACAAACGGGGGTAAAGCTCAGGTCTGCAGTGTCAGCAGTGGATCAGAGGGGAGCTGTGTTGTTCTAAACCCTCGGTTGTCCTCTCTGAAGAGGGAAACTGCATGACTGAAGCGGTCCTGGGACGCTCTGAGGAAACCCATAAACAAACTCATCTTTTGATCACACAGTCACTAAGTCTGACAGAGAATTGAGTCGTTGTTCTTTACTTTGCTGATGTGCAAATTATGAAAGCAGACGTTATCTTGCAGAGGCGCAAAAATAATCTGCAGTTGTCAGTGAGAATGTAGTTTCTCTTTCATCAAATTTTGTCTTAATTTTTGTTGCCCATGTCAAAGTAATACTTCATCCTCCAAATGACATCTTGTATAACAACTACTCATCCGTTGCGTTGAATTCATTAAGAAAACTGCATTTTTCCTTGCATGCTTTCACTGCGAACAGAGATCCTTGATGGACTGAAGTAAAAGAGGGCCTGCTTTTAAGCAAACTTGTGCAGATAGAATAAGATCAGCCTTACCATTCAAATAAAGCGCATATCTAAACTTATTCATTATTGTAAAACAGACACAGAAACATAGACAGAACACGTCATTGTGATGCTGACAGCAGTGGACGTCTGGCTCTTTGATGCTACAAAAAGGAACCAAACAAAGGATGATGTTCCATTGTGCCGTACACAAAGAGAAGGCGTGTGCTGTTTACCAGCTGAGACCATATGGACATTCCTGATGTGCACCACCGGAGGAATCTGATGCTCGGACCAAGTTTGGGTGGAGAAAGAAAGAAAGAGAAGGGTCTCCCTCCTCCCAGCACACTTTAAAGGCTCTTTTACCACCAAAGACCCCAACACACACACACACACACACACCCACATATACATCCATGTTCTTTGTGGACAGCGTGTGTCGCCCTCCCTCCCTCTGCTGAGGGGGGAGAAAGAGGCATCACACAGTGGCACACTATCTTATTGTGCTTTCCCTCCCTCCGCCCTTAATCCACTCCTTCTCCCCTCCTTCCTTCCCTCCCTCCCTCTATTCCTCACACACTCACACACTTTGACCTACAGAGCTACTAGCCCAATTTTAAACTAGGGCTCTGCGCCAAAAGCCTGTGCTTCACCTCATCACCCTCATTCATCACCACTGATTGCCTGAACTCTGAACATCAAAGATCTCGTTTGTACTTTTCGATGGACCAAAGAAAAGGAGGAGCCGAGGTGGATATCTTTGTTAATGGATAAAAAAATACACTTAAGTTAATAAAAGAAAGACAAAAAAAGTAAGCACATGTAGAGCCTGTACCTCCACTAAGGCTTCACAATACTATAAAATTGTTCTTTTAACAACAGAAAATGTTTAGAAACTTTAAATATGATGGACACAATGCAGGAAAACTAAAGGCAGACATGATTTTTGAGAAAACCTAAATTATGAGTGGGAATATTAAGGCTTTGTAACTGTGCAAAACTTTCATTCCAACATTTGGCCACAAAGTTATAGCTATTTAAATCCATCATGTTGCTGCAGCACCAAAGACGAGTCAGAGTTCGTATGTGGACACGTCTCCTAAATTTGGCTGCAATTGCACTATGTGTATGAGCAATAATGGTAGTCTTTATCAGCCATGTTGGAAAATAATCAATGAGATGTGTTTTCAGAGAAGTGCAAAAGTCATTTTGCAAAGAAAAAGAAACATTGTTTGGACAGTTATCATACCATGAAAATGTCATGCCATTGCGACCCTACTGCCGACCACCGCTCAAACCAACAAACAACAAAACCACTGTTGATCTAGTGAGCAATTGCTGGGTTTACAGCGGCTTTTTAGCCTCCTAACGTGGCTGTTTTGTAGCAACTTGTCACTGTTTTTGCAGAGGGGACAGTACGACAAAAAGCAGTCATCAGTTACCAAGAGGAGCTGCAGAATGATATATACATGATATTTTCCTGACCACAGCCAAGTGTTTTTGTGCCTAAACATAATCACACATTAACCACTGCATTTTTGAAACGTACAAATGTGAAGTTTCAAGGTATCCACCACATAATAATGTACAAATGTGACATATCTGTGGTTTGCAGAAACGTACAATGCCAACATTTTTCTGGATGGATACATCTCATGGTTCAAGTGCTTATAAATGCCACATGATGGTTCAAATGGATTTAGATCTGCCGCATAAATAATTTCTGTCTTAGCCAATGATGTCATTTTTCAGTAAATTTTTCAGAAATATGCTGCCGAGCCTTTGAGATTTTCGACAAACTATCAGATGAGACAAACTAACAGGAGCCAAAACACAACACCTCTGTATGCTTCAAACAAACTTGTCCATATAACAGGTCACAAGACACAATGAATGGTAAAAACAGGCACATATTTTTGTGTGAGAAGAATGAAAATTCACTCTTCCACTGTGTAGAGTGACCCTCATTACCATCTACTTAGAAAGTTACAAATATTGTTCAATGCTGCACTTCCATATTCTGCCATCAGAAAGCAGGTTTCAGACACTGTTTGTCATTCCAACCAGTACACTGTTTGAAGCACATTGAGGCTGTGAAACTTCCTGCTGAAAACAGTCTTACTTTGTGGTTTATTAGAGTTATTCAGTCTAATATCCTTCCAGTTGGGCTTCAAACCATCCAATGTCATGAATGTTTGAGATTCCCCAATATTGATTTTCACTGTGCTGAAAAGGCTCCACAAATAAATACCATGACATTCTAGAAATGTCTTGAACCACCAGAAATCAAACAGATCAGCTTTCATAGACTCGAGACGTCACAAAACCCCCTCAACACAAAACCAACAACTTTTTAAATGAAGCAGGAAAAATAATCCCAAACTTCTGTTGTGTGGATTTTCTACCAGCGCGGAGACATGAAAGGAAGCTGGGCCTCCGCCGAGCTAATGTCAACACATGAACAGGGAGACGCTAAAGAGTCTCGACTGGGACTGGGAGCTGTGGATCAAGGCCCAGCTGTTGCACCAGTAGGACCTCTGAGCCTCTCATTCCAGTTAAACCTGAGTAAACTATCTCACAGAGCAAAGTCAGAGGTGTCGGAGTGTGACCTGTAGCAACAGGGCAGATTATTAAACTGGGAAAGAAGCTGTTGAGGAATTAAAAATCTAACTCATCATAAGAAAAGCAAT